CAAACCATTTTGTTCAGGTGTCCTAGGTGCAGAACATTGATGAACAATTCCATGTTGATCACAAAATGAATTAAAATCACTAGAAAAGTATCAACTTCCTCTATCACTTCTTAGAGTTTTTATCTTCTTACTTAGGTGATTTTTAACTTCATTTATATATACTGTGAACATATCAGAGACTTCATGTTTATGCTTATCGAGTAAACATACGTATATCTAGTGAAATCATCAATGAAGGTAATAAAATACATATTTTTTCCTCTAGTCAACATGCTATTTAATTCATATATATCCGTATGAATTAATTCTAAAATACTAGAAGTCATTTTTATATTTTGATAAGGTTTTTTAGTCATTTTAGATTCTACACATGTTTTACATTTAAATATATCATTTTCATTATATGATGTTAAGTCACAATTTAACATTTTTTTTCATAGTACTCTTATCTATGTGACCTAATCTTGCATGCAATAATGTAAATGAATCAACAATATAAGCAAAATCAATTTTATTATTAATCACCTTGTCAACGGTACAAAGTTTGATTATTCATTTACAAAAATAGCATTTTCCAGCAAATTTTTCATTTAATTCTCGAGAATTTTGTAATAATTGCTCCCACTTGGAAAGTTTTCGGAATCTCTATTTTGACCTCCTTCAATTTATTGACAAAAACTTGCAACTTATGAATTTGGGAAAGAAGTGGAATGTTATCAAGAAATTTGAAATAAAAATATCTTGAAATTAAGAACTTTTTGGTACCTGCTTCTTCTTCTTCTTCTTCGACGCCGTTAAAAGAAACTTCAATTTATCTTGTCATCTCGTGAAGTTGGTACTATTAAAGCGATCAAAACGAACAAAGTCTTAATTAATTAACTTGATCGTCGTCATAGTGCTTTCATTCTCCATTGAAATATCATTTGAAATTGTTGGAAAATAATGTTTACACAAAGGGGAATGGAAAAGAAACAAAGAAAAATGATCAAGAACTTGCAAAGAAAAATCAAAGGCTTAATTAACGAGTAATCGTTGTCCTTAAATGATATTTGCCTCCTATTGGATTGAATTTTGGTGATTACAGAGATCTTGGCAAATGGTTTGCAAGATTTATCAAGCCTTGAAAAGGATTAACACTTAAGCACGTAGCGTAATCCTCCAAAATTTAAGAACCAAAAATGAATATGAAGAGAAAATGAATTTCAATATTTTTGGGAATGAGGGAATAATATCAAGCGTTTATCTATGTTTTCAAACTTATTTCATTGATCACAAACCATCTATTTATAGCCATCATGCAAGGCTACACAAAGTGGTGCCAAAAACACTCGAAAAGCCACCCAAAATTCAAACAAAACGGACATCTAACGACCGTATTGTTGTTCTATGCAACCACATAGAACAAACATATGCGGTCACATAGAACAACCAATGAGGCCTTTAAACCCTGCATAGGCCTCATAGGCCAATTTTTAGGCATTCGATTTCATTTTTCATTCCACATTCTTTTATTGATTTTTGAACAAACATACAACATTTTCGTGATCATATGTGCTTCCTTCACGCTTGCACTCGCATAGACCAATTTTTAGGCCTTCAGTTCCATTTTCCATTCCACATTCTTTTATTGATTTTTGAACTTCCATACAACATTTTCATGATAATATGTGCTTCCTTCACGCTTGCAATTTGTCCAACTATGTACAGACTACAAATAATAGAATACGTGTCTTTTTCTTTTTCCTCATTTTGCCTTTTCTTAATTATTACTATGTAATTGACGTTTAAGAGGTTCTAATTACTATATTTTTAACTGCTTATGGTATGCACCCTTAAATGGAGGAGCACCTGTTTAAATATTTTTTGTCTACTGATACAATTATGGGAGAGACTTTATAAAGCTCATATACTTTTCTTTTTTCGAAACAACACAAATACCTTTTTTTTTTTCTTTTTTTCCCCTAAGGGACACATATATACATTTTTTTTCGTAGGAAAACTATTCTGTCACGATTTTTTGTACATACACCACATTTTAATTGTATTAAAGGTCTATGATCTTTACTCATTATCATACTTATGTCCCGACTTTTGTTTTTAATTGTATTCTTACCTTAATCTTTCATTTATTGACATTATTTTTAACCGTCGTAAACAATTATCTTAGAGTGATTATTAGTATTTTAGAAAGAGACTCAATAATACCCCATTTGAATGCGGAGACTATGGTTATGCAAGTTGGCTTGACGATAGCCCGGAATTGTGGCATGAACATATCGGTGACGAAGTGTGATTATTTTTTGTAGAATAAATCATAAAATCAATTTTTCGTTGTTCTCCAAATGCGCCAATTTCATTTGATGTTAGGTCAACATTGTTACACATTGGAAAATTTGGTTCTTGTAACTTTATTTTTTGAGAGTGGAATAAGGTTGTCCACAATATTGCTTCATGTCTTCTATAGGTTTTGGTACTTGTATCTAGAAAAATTATATTTCATTTTTATCTTGAGTGCGGTTTTGTGAGGGCCTTATTAATTAAAGCGTCTTACCTTGCCATAGTATAAGTAGATTAAGTGATGTATACAAATATAAACACTAACTTGTATCGAGTACTACCATGATTATTAGAATTTAAGAAATAGACTCAATATTTTAAACTTCCAATATCTTATCAGTACAATAAAAATAAAATATTTCCAGAACCCTAAACTTCCATCTTCACCATCCCTGCCACAAGGAAAAAAAAAAATCAAACTGAAAAATGCACAAGAAAAAAGCAAGTGCTATTTACATCCGAGTAGTTTTGTCTTCTTGCTACTGCTTGTGCTATTAAAATTGATTTTCCTCTGTGTGTGTGTGTGTGTGTGTGTGTGTGAGAGAGAGAGAGAGAGAGAGAGATTGGTTATACAATCAATTTGATTGGTGGAGAGAGATTTAAAAATATTGTTTTTAATTTAAGTGGGCCCAGCTATAGTGCTGGGCTTAATAAACCCCAGAGTCCAATTATGGTAGGGCCTAATGAAGAATGGATCTCAAAGTTTCACTATCAACCCAGTAAATATGTTCAGACAGAAACTGTCCGGCCCATCTAAAAGAATTGACTCAATTGAAGATGAGAAGTGACTTAACTGGGCTCGTCCATCCAATTCATGAATATTGGACCTGCAAATGGCGGCACGACTTGTCATTCTTATTGATTCACTGTTGGTATTAATCCTTCTATTACCTTGTTATAGTTGAGGCTCGTTTGACAATTTGCTTTTGCATTTACTTCTTATAGAAGTGCTATACTTTAAGTCAGATTTTTCTAAAAATTCTTCTAGTTAGATAAAACACTTTAAAAAAACTATCAAAACGTATTCAAAAGTAATGTCTTAATCTCATAAGAAGCTTTTGTCTTTTCAAAAGCTTCATCAAATGGGCCCCAATTCTAACCTGTAATATAATACGCTCCCAATTACCTATGATAAATAGTGCCTTTCAATTGTAATTAAGCGGACTAAGAACTCTGGAGCTCTTGTAAGTAAGGAATTTCTTCATTAAATTCTAATTTGTGAAATAGTTTTGTCACAAGTATTTGATCAAGACAATAAGTCACAATCATAAAGAAACAAAAAAAAACACTAACACCCATAATTCCTGCTCATGTTTCCTGGCAACTTGTGTAGGGTCATGTGCAATGAACACTAAGACTCTTATCAAATGTTCCCATGCTATAGAATTGTAGGAAATTTATTAAAAAGGATGATTTTGGGGGAATCAAGATTCATAAACAAATGTATTTGCGCCGTTTCAATCAGGATTACGCTGTCTTTCATTTTGACCAAGTGAACATAGTTTTTTTTTTATTATTATTCTACAATCATTACCGGATCATGTCACTAGCTAGAAACTCTTTTATATGTTTGGTTATGTTTATCTCGACACTCGTGTCTTAGGCTTTGCATATAACAACACGACTTTCAATTACACTCTACCGAGTCCCCAAATACCCCATGAAAGTTTGAAACAATTCTTCTGAATCTTAGTTTGTAGACGTAATTTAGTGAATCTTGATTTTTCTTATAACTAGAAGAAAAAGAAAAAAATCTAATACATGATAGAATAATAACCCTCAGAAGGACGTGAGATTATTAAAGCATGAAAATTCCCATAAGAAGACAAGAGACATAACATGAGTTACTTTTGGCTCCTACCAATTCTAGCCTAGCTAGGTTAACTTATTTTCCATCCCTATTTTCTATAGGCATCTTCCTCCATAACCTGCATTCCTGAATAATGCTTGTTTTACATCTTCGGTGCTCATAATTGATTGATTTTCAACAGTCTGAAACCATAGAAAAGTTAGAAGCAAATTAGAACATATAATTTGGTATGTAGTTCTCCTCGACTACACTATAAAAATGTACAAGATTTTAACTTATTTTTAGTCTTGTTCAATTTTGTCGAGTTCAGTGATCAAATATGTCATTAGTACTTACCTCGTAACAGGAAGCTTGAAGTGAAAAATCATTGAAACAGCTGATAACACACTGTTGAATATCAAAGCCCAGTGCATCAAGGGTGCTAAGGGTTGATGACAATAATCCTGGCTTCCCTGTACAGCATACCTCAATCTGGGTATCACGGTTTCTCCTTTCTACATCAAACTGAACTTGGAGAAGTTCATTAGTGAAATATTAGGATTTGACTAGGGTTTTATTTGGATTTCAGCTAGGTCATAGAATAAATAAAACAATACCTTAGGGGGATTCTTCACTAGCGTTTCGTTTGGCTTTAGCTCCTTCAAATTTCTTGTTAAGTTCATTTGGCTCGTACTCATATCCTCCTCCTGCAGCTTCTGAATTTTATCAAGGAGCTCCTTCATGTAATCTATTGTATCTCCAAGTATTGATGTTCTATCCATCTGCTTAATTAATTATCAAGAAACATTCCAAGGTAATTTAGGATATCAGATTTTTTTTTTCCTGAAAAATGAAGCATATAGTACGTTTGCTGCATAATCCAAAATTAATATATGGATTTTCTCCAATTACATCATATAGTAGTGTCAAGTCAACGAGACCAGTATAAAAAAATAAAAATAAACAGCGAAAACCAAGGCATTTTTCATTGAGTTGAATGAATGGCATTGGATAGGGTCCAACTGTAATGATTAGTACGTACCAAACATGGACTGAGTGTTTACCTTGCTTATCCTGGGGACGATTGACCGGAGCAAGGAAAGGCGATCGTTTAGTCGCTTCCTTCGCCTTCTTTCGGCCATTAGATTCTTGGAGGGTTGTCCATTAGCTTTCTTAACCTTGCTCTTTTGTCCGGCAAGCATACCTACATTAGAAATATTGCCCATATCTGCTGGAAATCCGAGTTGTTCATCTTCTGCATTTCCTATGCAGTACTCTTCAAGAACTGGCATCGCCATTATATCATTCTTATTATTAAATGAACTGAACTCCGGCGAGTTGAATGCATCAACAAACGGCTGGAATTCACCGAAGGGACACAGATTGCATAATTCTTCTGGTGAAACGAGTCCCGAAAATGAAGGATTTGTGGCCGCCAACTCTGCTGAGTGATCAAAATTAGGTTCCAGGGTCCAACCAGCGGGGAAAAACTCGTTCAGATCGTTAGGAAATGTGGTCCAACTGTCTCTCCTTGAAGCCACTAAGTCATCCAAGAGACTCTGCTGTGTAAGCTCCATCTCTCCTTCTGTCTAACAAACGGGAAGACTGAATAGTAATATTAATGGCTCTGTAAGTTGAAGGAATATATATAGACTGCTTTAGAAGGTCTTTAATATTGTGACTAAAATGCATATGTTAATGCACCCTTAAACTTGCTTGAAAGGTGAGAATGCTCGAGTGATTGTTACTCCAAAAGCGAAGCCTTTACTTAGCAACGTCCAATACATGTGACCATCTAGATGATTTTATGGAACATTTTTCTACTAAAGGTAGCCACACTCAAAGTTATTTCGAGAAGGGTACTTATTCTGATATTATTACAATCATATTAGGTAGGGATCGCCTTATAGACAAGGGTATTCCAATGGTTACAAGTCTAAAATCCCACAAAT